TTCAAAAAACTCTCGCGTTTACGACGCACCTCAGCACTGAACGCTTCTTGACTGTTGCCAGCAGCTGCTACTGATACTTCTGTACCAACACTGCTAGGTAGAGGAAATTCTGTTGGCGCCGAGAAACCAGAAATGAACGACGGCTTGGCAAAACCCGAGGCAGAAGACTTGGACGGCCCAGCTCCACTCGAAGCCCATTTCGCAGACCGACTTTCACCTGATGCCGAGCTGGCCAGCTTTGACTGATGTGATGAAAGTTTGTATGGCCCTATATCAGCACACGGAAGCTTAGATGGCTCGACTGCGTCTGACTTTGGTACAGGCGGTTCAGCTTGGCCACAGAATTGCTTGGATGGACCAGCTGCTTCACCACCCTTTTGCCAACATTCAATACTCAGCTGAATAGCTTTCTGCAGCTCTTTCTCCATTTCCTCATCAACCGCTTCATTTTTCTGCGACATATCCTTTAGACTGTTCTTCAGTGTGGCCTGAAAAGGCAGGAACTTCTGGCAAGCAAATGCAGTGCACATGCGCACAAGCAAAAAATGCTACTAATCCGACATCTACTAATTTAATGGAAAGCTGATCTATTCATGAAGAGAGCGAACAGCATTGTTATTCGAAGGTATTCGGTGAGCGTTCATCGAAGAAACCGGGTGGAAAAGGATTACAAAAAGGTGTGGAGCGAGAAATGAAGTACGTGCTCACTACCTGCAGTGTAACATCATCGTTATCCATTTCACGGCGGCTTAATTCCATTGCAATTCGCAAATCGCGATCCTCCTGGGCCTATAAAAACAGAACAGTGCACATGAAAAAGGAAGTATGAAACACACACAAGGGACGTCAGCTCTTTGCTTTTAATTTCCAACAGGTTATTTCGATACTGAAACACTCAATTTCGCTTTTCGTAAGCAAACATTTCTTGTAAAACTTTCAAAAACAGTTAAGGCACAAATGGAATGTAGCACTCTCCACCAGCAGCATCACGTCATTGTACTGCGCAGTCTACATGCACTAAGCTCCAACTGCTACCAACAAATGTGCATGAAAAAGCTGTGTGCTTTTAGAGTGGAATGCAACGTTTTGGTGAAATCAAAGCAGAGGGAATGGTCCCACTGTTCTGACTCGAAAACGGAGCTTAAAAAGTACGAATGGAAAGGGGACCAATGGTAGACTTAACGGGGGACATGCATTTTTCGCCTCATTTTCCTCGCAGATGCTTGTTGCTAAGTAGCACAGGTTTTTTTTTGGGTAGGTACTTCTAGCAAAGCAAGCAGAAATACGCATCAAGTTTTGACTCATTATCTTTATTTTTGCTTTCACGGTATTAACTGGCATACAAAATTTGTCACAGTTACAATGCCTCGCGCGTGAGATGAAGGGGACGTGAAATCCGTTTTCCCACACACTCACCCAAATACAATCGTGGGACATAAACGCAAGCATCGCAGCTGCTGTGGTTACGGTGTTGCAAAATTGTCAGTGTGAAATTGCATGTGCCTGCACGTAAAGCCTGAAGGGGACGTGAAACACATGGACTTTCCCATACGCAACTGGGTCATGCTCAAAAATCCCAGTGGTCTAGCTGCTTTGGTTCTGAATTTATAAAAATGCCTGCGACAAATTGCATATGTCCGAAGATGTGCTGCGGAAGAACTGTGAATGTTGCTTTCACCTGCGCCAGCCCAAACGCAGCCATGGATCATGCTCAGTTAATTTCATCACTCTAGCTGCTTTAATTCTGGAGTTGCACAACTATCTGTGTCTAATTTCACGTGTTTAAATGTGAGGCGTCAGGAGGCACGACAACTGAATTTATTTCCGCGGACACATAACTGACAGCAAACAACGTAAAATTACAGTTCCCTATTGCTTTTTACCAGTCTAACCCTCATGTCTGCATGGTATCAATTTGAACGTTGACTATGTGTACGTGTGCGAGGAGTAGGTAGAAGCTAAACTTAAATTCTTTTGGTCGCAGACAGACAAGAAACAACTTCGTAAAGTCCCGTCCTTCTAACTTATCAGATTCCCAAAATCGTTTTCCCGCCAAAAAGTATTTCACATGTCATATGCGAGAACTAGGGGGACATGAACGTTCTTTTTATGCCACACATAGTGGTAGACTAAGGTACCAAAATTTCAGTCTGGCAGCTTTCGCAGATCTGGAGATCGAAATTTGTCTTCAGTCGCTATGCACACATGCACATTTAGGCAATTACTAAAGCACGGCTCGGTTCGGCTAACGTTGGCAGCTGCACGAGTTGCCGATTTATTGGCAAATGTGTAGTGGAAGAGTAGAAGAGGGGACAAGGAGGGAAGAGGAACGGGGAGAGGAGAAGGGGGAACGAGGGAGGGAAAGATGGGGCGGGACGACAGAGGGGACGGGGAAAAGGAGGGGGCAGGGGGGACGGT